CTCGCCATCTTTACACTCATCCTTATCTGTAATCATCAATAAATTCGAATTTCTTCACCAATTAAACATCATTGACTACTACGAACAGAACGAATATCATACAGAATATGCGCCTGTATCATCTCCAATGAATGATCTACTAATACATCTTAAACGCACTAACCAATACAAGACCTCAGATCATTGGATTTGACAAAGCCGGCGTCACAGTCGCACAGATAGCTGCCGAAAGTATCCACACAAATACCGTTCTCAGGATCACAGGCTGACACGTGACGTATACCAATTCCTTCCTTACATTCATTGATATCTCAAACGATGGAATATAGCGACGATAACTCAAGTGATTAAAAAATCATCGATATGTTGAATGACAAAACCGACTTATATGTGACTTATACATCCAGATGTTTTGTGATATTTTGTAATTAACAAAAATTATTCGCACAGTCAATACGTGTGGTTTGGAGTGATTAGAAATTGATAGTATTCCTAAAACGTACTATCGCAAATGAACGTTCCATTGATTGTAACCTTACGGAATCCAGGAAGACATCTGAATTGCAATCAATTAGTAATACGGTATCACTATAACATGAAAATATGAATACAGTCAAAAGTGAACCGTAATTGATGGAGATAGTCACAATTTATGAGTGATAAAGATAATGCTATATGTAGGTAGATGTGATATGAACCGAATGAACTAACTCGCACGCATATCCCGGAACACGATCAACACATTGACTCATCAACGGACACTGTGCACTTCCATCAGCACATTCATTCCTGTTAACACACGCATCCATACCTTCAATCCACTTCATGTTAAGTATGCTCATATCCACCCAAAAATACGCTTATAATACTAATGCATGAATATATACGCTTACATACTATGCATGAGATATATTATATATACTTACAAATGCAGTTACTTAAGGTATACTATATGCTCAAAATACCAAAAATATACTATATATTATACTCTTGCAAAATACTAATGCATGAAGCAGTTAGTCAAATAATTTTAACCTAGTTACTAGTAACTCAAATTGAACAAATGATTCGAATCAACCAACAATGGAGTGATTGTTTTGATTTGTTACGATACGACACGATACTCACCTGGTGGCTTAATGAAGCCTTTCTCGCAACCGCATTGATAACTTCCGATAGTATTAACACATTTTTGATGCGGTAGTGGACATGCGTTGAACACTTCCAAACACTCATCAACATCTATAACTGTTTGTTGAAGAATTAATGCNTGTAGACTAGCAGTAGCGGTCTGTATTTTACAAGTTTACATTGTTTTTTGGTTAGCTGATAAAACTGACCTGCGCATCCACCTTTTGTACCGGTTCCTTTATAGCCTGCTTTACAAACACACTGATATCTGATTCCGTGAATAGCTGGTTCACGATCCAGGCAACGTGCATTCGGATCACAATCATTCTCGGCTACACTTCGACATTCATTAATATCTGCAATTCGACATTAACCCAGCGTTCAGATCTGTCACGTCACTGACAATAAGATATGGTATTACCAAATTACTAAATCA